ACTGAAATATATACCAGTTAGATATAAATGGGATGCTGAAATGAGTGATATTGGCACACGCTATACTTATAAGTAATAATATGCAGTCTAAAGTAGCTTGAGTTTTCAAACAAGAACTCTCTTTATGTTGTCATTTAAAATATCTTATATTTCTGAAGGTCAGGAATAAATGGCACTATTAGCATTAAAAGCTAGTAAAAGAAAAAGTAATTTGTTGTTCATTTAACATAACATTTTATGAAATAGCTGTGTAAAGTATTCATTTTTTTCTCCCTATGGAGGCTGAGAAGACAGGATGAAAATGCCTGATTCTCAATGGAGGGCTTTTTATCACACCTTTGTTTGCAGTTAACATCTTGATTCAGCAAGATCTTTGTGGAGTTATGTGGTTTGTGCCTGGGCAGGTTAATGCTATGAAATAAAGATGTCTATCCAACTGTGGTTTTAGCTGTTTCCCACAGGGTGCTGACCTGGTCCTGGGTTTGGTCTTCATCAGTAGTGGTATTTGCTACAGGGATGACAGTTTGACACTAGGGACAAGTGGCAAGTCTATCAGAAACTGAGGATAGAGAGTTTTGATATGAAAGATATAGGTCCTCAAGAGAAAGAGGAGGGAGACTCTTGCTGTGTGTCTCGGAACCAGTGGCAGATAAATCAGGATGCAAATCCAAATACAGATGTGAGACCACCTTGGGGAAAGTCAGCCACAGGAACCCACTCAACCCCGGCCTCAGGTCCTGAGCCCCCAAATATTGTAAACCTCAACCATCTGAGCTCCTGGACAATCCTCTCAACTTCCCTAGTATTAATCAGTCTCTCTCTCTCTCTTTCTCCTCTTAACTTTGGATACAAAAAATTAAAGCTACAAAAAATTAACATTGACAAACACAGTATAAACACTTGGAATTAGCAAAGGAGAACCTTTAACATGTTTACTTCCAATTTCTTGCTAATGGAAAATCAATATGACATTACTAGGAAAGAAAGGTTTTAAATGGCCTAAAAGCCATATTTTGGTATTTCTTACCACATATTTGATAACTAGTATTTTGTAAATAAAAATGTACTTCAGTGGTAATTTCTGTATCTAAATGATATCTTCCTGACACTTGTTTTTCTCCTCAATAGGACATTTTGGGGATCTACCTATGTTGATACATGCGGATTCTAGTGTATCTAGTTTATTTTTATTTATTTATTTTTTGAGTAGAAGTCTTACTCTGTCACCCAGGCTGGAGTACAGAGGCATGCTCGTGGCTACTGTAGCCTCAACCTGTTGGGCTCATATGATTCTTCTGCCTCAGCCTTCCAAGTAGCTGGGATTTATTTGGTTTATCTTGCCAAATTGGTCAGGATGGTTTCAAACTCCTGGACTCAGGCAATCCTCTTGCCTCTGCCTCCCAAAGTGCTGGGACTACAGGTATGAGCCACCTACCTTATTCTTTTAAATTGCTAAAGTTGTACTTTGAATAACCTGGAAGACGTGAATGTTATTTTGTTGGTTTCATTTGTTATTTTGTTGGTTTCATTCCCCTTATTACTAGTGAGGTTGAATATCAAACATTTTTTTGTTTACTTTGTCCCCGTGTGGGTTGCCCGCTCATGTTCTTTGTTCATTTTTCTATTGGGTTGTCCTTTTATTTATGTATTCTGAATACTAATTCTTTGTTGCGTCTACCTCAGATAGCTTCTCTGAGGCTCTCTCTTTGTCTATCTCTTTGTCTTTGGTGTCTCTATTAGCATTTTTTTTTTTTTTTTTTTTTTGAGTTGGAGTCTCACTCTGTCGCCCAGACTGGAGTGCAGCGGCCGCTCCCGGCCACCGCAGCCTCGACCTGCTGGGCTCCAGCGATCCTTCCGCCTCAGACTTCCGAGTAGCTGGAACTACAAGCATGCGCTACCACGCCCGGCTGATTTTTTTTTGATTTATTGTAGAGATGAGGTCTTGCTGCCCAGGCGGGTCTCGAACCCGCGGGCTCAGGCAATCCATTCACCTCAGCCTCCCAAAGGCACGGGATTACAGGCTGAGCCACCGAGTCTGGCAGTCTTAAAGAATAACTCATGCCAACCATTTCTTCCTGCTTCATTTAGTGGCTATTTATTATGTGACAGGCACTGTAGCAAGTGCTCTGCATGCCTTAGTTTATATAATCCTAACATCCATCCACCCTTTGAGGCAGGAGTACTATTATTCCTGATAAGTGTTGAGGTCAGAGAAGTTAAACCCAGGGAGTACAGGTAGAAGGAGGCAAAGTTTCGATTCAAGGCCAGCTCAGCCTGACTGCAGAGCTGAGCATTTAGGTCCTATACACTAGGAGGATTTGTACAAGTAAAGATAGAATGTGTCATTACCAATTTTTACAAGGAAATATACTCAGTGGTTCTCCACTTTGGCTGTAAATCTCCTGGGGAGCTTTACAGAAACCCATCCCAGAAACTGATTGATCTAGGAGACAGCCTGGACATGGGATTTTCTTTCAAAGCTCCACATCGATTCTAACATGCAGCCAGGGCTGAGAACTTCTGTCTAATAGTTGATAGTCTTACTGAGATCTAGAACATCAAGTAGGTCTCAGACAAGGACATATTTTATACCAGGCTAAGGTATTTCAGTGTACCATGCTGTATAGGGCTTAAAAAAAAAAAAGAATTTAGAAAATGCAAAGAAAATGAAAGGGGAAAAGGAGAGTGAAACACATCCTAAGCTATTGAGCTCAAGCATTTCAGTTCCATTATGGATTAGAGACTTCCCCGTAAAGGAAGAGGCAACTCCTTTACCTGCATTCTCTGAATCTCAGTGAATAAACCACAAGCAATTCTCTTCAAGCCCCAGCCAATGCTGTCACGATGCCATTCCCTCTATCTGCTAGATGAGGCCATTTCTGGACTTTAAGAATTGAACAGTGACTGTTCCCACCCTGGCCCAACAGGTGCACCTTAGACGATCACCCACCTCAGGCCCCCCCAATGACACTCTCTGCCTGGCACCAGCCCAGTTACTCACTGGGGACCCCAGGAATGAGTGGGCAAGTCTCCTGGAGGCAGGGAGAGGCGGTGTGTAGGCAGGAGGGCAGGCTAGCAGGGCTATACTCCACACAGGCACCAGTAGCTCTGTACTGAGGAGGTGCCAAGTCCCCCAAAGCTGGACACAGCCTAAAAAGACCATACAGGCCAGTATTAGGCTCAGGAAGGAAAGCTGGAAGCATGGGTTTGGCTGCCGCCCTGACCAGGTATGAGTTCAGGTGGTTAAAGCCCTTGGGACCCTGAATTGTAAATAAAAATTAAAAAAAAGAAAACCTTCTGGGAAGTTGCTGGGATCACAGGCACCTGAACAACCCTCCAAATATGAGCTGGGTACAGGCTGGCCAGATACAGCCTTGTGAACAGCTCCTGTTTCCCACTGACTTCCCTTTCCATCCAGGGTGAGGAATAAAATTAGCACAGTATTTGCATATGACAGATGATTTCAATTTTCTTGATATTAAATTTAAAGCAAAAATTATATTTTAAAATGCCTAAAGTTGGCAAAGAATTTGACCAATTCACAGAGAAATACAAAGCCATTATACACTGAAAAGATATTCACCTTTATTTCTAATAAAATAAATGCAAATTACAATGTAAGGAAAAGCACATTTACCTATAAAATTGGTAAATATTTGACAGTCATCATGTTGGCGAGGGTGTAAAGCACTCTCATATTGTAATGAGCTATATGAGATTGCCAACATTTGACTTTTCTGACCTGCAAAAGTGGCAATTTCATATGGTTTAACCTACTATGTTGTTTGTTGATGTGTAAGTGGGTACAGTCACGACAGAGGGTATTTTGGCAATACTGATAAAAATAAACATATTCTAGCCGGGCTCGGTGGCTCAGCAGGTAATCCCGCGCCCTTGGGAGGCTGAGGCAAGTGGATTGCCTGAGCCCGCGGGGTCGAGACCCGCTTGGGCAACTTGGCGAGGCCTCATCTCTACAATAAATCAAAAATCAGCCGGGCATGGTAGCATGCATTTGTAATTCCGGCTACTCAGAAGGCTGAGGCGGAAGGATCGCCGGAGCCCAGTGGGTTGAGGCTGTTGTGGCCAGGAGCGGCCACTGCACTACACCCTGGGTGACAGAGTGAAACTCCAACTCAAAAAATAAATAAATAAATAAACATATTCTAAATATTTGTTGGTCAGATATCAATAATATTGAAAGTATCATAGAAGGATATTAATCGTGTGAATGTTTATAATAGGAATATATCCTCACCATACATACCATATACATCTCTCAGTGGAATCTATGAGGTCATATGAAGAATGAAGATGTGCTTTCTGAACCACTAGAGATCAATATCCAATTTATTGTTAGTGAAAAAAACAAGATGCAGAATAGCATGTATAGTATGCTGCCATCTGTGTTTGGACAAAAAGGGTATGACAGGGTTGAGATGCATAGGATAGACATATATTAATACATATGTATACGTAGGATATTTCTGGAAGAAACCCAAGTTGTCTTCTTCTCAGAAGAAAAACGGGGCGACTTGAAGGCAAGATAAGAAGAGACTCTCCTTTTATATAAAATACTTTTTGATAAAAATACTCAGTATGAATTGTGTACCACATGTGCATATTAACCTTTTTTTTTAAGCCTCTCTTCCTCCATGTCACAAGCAAATTTTAACCAAAATTATCACGGTTTGGAGCTGCACATACCACGGGCTGCTCTTATGTGTGCATACGCCCTGCCCCTAGGATTTTAAAAGCTGGGTGGGCCACACATGGGAGCAACAATGACCTTTTCAAATAGGACAGAACTTCACTGTCTAAGGAAATAAAATACATTAGAACAAGGCACACAGAATGTCCGAAAAGAGAGAGATGGTGACAGAGGTAGGTGGGTGGGAAGTTCCAAGCATCAACTGTGGCAAACTTGTCTCTAGTCTCAATAATTGTTTCGGAAATATGACCTCAGGACATGGAGAACGTCAAACTAACACCTCAGTCTCAAACCAAGTGCATTCAAAAATTTATTACCACAAAGAGACAGGAGCCACACCATGTTTTTTAACAAGGGTAAAGAGTTTGTAAAACGTCTTCCCGCACCGTGTCACTGCTACAAAAATTATACCTGTGGAGGAAAACATTTTCAGCATGAGGCTCTTTTGCTTATGGAAATGTGACTTCAGATGAGTAAACAGTTTTTAGTCAGCCCCCTAGATCTCAGTTCCCTTTTGACTGAAAAGGTCTGCTATACCAGGCAGAGTCCAAGTGATTCTTACTAAGTAATCCTGCTCAAAGAACATTATCCTCTCTTTGTGGGCACTTGATGGGCTGAAAGTGAAACAGTCACATCAAACCAAAGCTTTCCAAACCTGAGGGTGGGCCTGCTGCTATGGGCTCAGCAATGAGTTCCAGAGGCCAGGGGTAACCTAGACAGCCCAGAGGGGATATGCCCTGTCAAGTTAAAACCATAGAGAGTTGCCTCATACACCGCTTCTGGGAATGTAGACTGTGACAGCCACTTTGGAAACAGCCTGGCAGTTCCTTTAAAGGTTAAATAGTTATCACACAGCCCAGTAATTCCACTATGTGGTATATTCCTAACAGAAATAAAATAAAATCTTGAACATGAACGTTCTTAGAAACATTTTTCATAATAGCTTCTTCAAATAGTTTTCTCCAAAATAATTGTGTCTAAAGTGGAGACAACTTAAATGATTGTCAACTAAATAAACGGATAAATAAAATGTGGTAAATCCATAGTAGAATATTATTTGGCAATAAAAAAGAATGCAGTACTGATACATGCTATATGAATGAACTTTGAAAACATTATGCTAAGTGATTGAAGCTAGTCACAAAGGACTATATAGTATATGATTCCATTGGCATTAGATGTCCAGAATAAGAAAAACTGTAGAGAAACAAAGTAGATCAGTGGATGCCTAGGGCTGGGGAAAAGGAATGTGTGGATTGGGGGTGATGATGGTTAACAGGTATAGGGTTTCTTTTTGGGGTGATGAAAATGTTCTAAAATTGATTGTGGTGATGGTTCCACAACTTTGTGAATATACTAAAAGTCATTGAATTGTACACTTTAAATATGTGAATTGCATGTTTTTGGAATTATATTTATATTTTAGAAAAAACGAGCACAAAGTGTTATCAGTCCTGAGGATGTGGAGCCTGGTCGGGTCACCAAGTCATGAGATGCATGCTCTCAGTCTCCTCCTTCCTGGTAGGTGTCTTTGGCTTAAGAGGGCAGTGGGGTCATGTCAGCCTTCCCTCAGGGCTTAGCTTCAGGATGTAACTTCTTAATGAGGGAGCTCTTATGTGGGGTGGTAACTCTGATGTTTGGAATATATAGTGTGTGAGTCTAAATTGTACTTAAAAACAAGAACTCCCCCCCACCCCACCTAAATACTGTGAGATCCAGACATTTCCACAATGCGTTGCACTGCCAGACTTTACAGACTCCACAACTGCCCATCCGATTGGATGACCAGTGGGCACACTGGAAATAATTCTGGATGGGACATCGGAAGACCTGGGTCCTTGTCGTGCCTCACACTTGAGTACAGTAAACCACTCCCCCTTATCTGTGGTTTTGCTTTCCACAGTTTCCGTTACCCATGGTCTGAAAATATTAAATGGAAAATTCCAGAAATAAACAATCCATAAGTCTTAAATGGCACATCATTCTGAATGGCTTGATAAAATCTCATGCTGTTCAGCTCTGTCCTGCTCAAGATGTGAGTCAACCCTTTGTCCAGTGTATCCACACTATACAGTATGTATGTATAGGAAAAAAGCATGGTGTCTATAGGGTTTGATACTATCTGAGGTTTCAGGCATCCACTGGGGGTCTTAGGACATATCACCCACAGATAAGGGGGACTACTGCACACAAAGTGATGGCACACCAACTGTGACATCTGATCCAACAACACCACTGAGTAACCAGAATGACCACCACTTTTACAGCCAGCAAAGTTAAGTCATGCAGCTGAACAAGATTTTGGTGTGTTTTGTTTTCTTTTCTTTTTTATTTTTTTTGAGTTGGAGTCTCACTCTGTCGCCCAGAATGGAGTGCAGTGGCCGCTCCCGGCCACCACAGCCTCGACCTGCTGGGCTCCGGCGATCCTTCCTCCTCAGCCTTCCAAGTAGCTGGAATTACAGGCATGCGCTACCACGCCCGGCTGATTTTTTGATTTATTGTAGAGATGAGGTCTCGCTGCCTAGGCGGGTCTCGAACCCGCGGGCTCAGGCAATCCACCCACCTCAGCCTCCCAAAGGCACAGGATTACAGGCTGAGCCACCGAGCCCGGCTTTCTGAAAATATTTTGATGTCCAATATTTTTCCTTTTAGCTCCTCTATGAGACCTTAGAGAAGTTACTGGACTCCAAATATCATTTTTCTCCTCTTAAAATGAGAGCAGTTGAGAGGTGACATCTCCATTTCCTTCATACTTTAACATCTCATTATTTTCTGATTATCATCTTTTGAAGTGTCCTTCTTTTTTCTCCATATTTTAAAAACAATTATGCTGTCTCTCAACTCCTACCAATAAGATTCTATTCCCCAAGAATGAGAAGAGCTTGCCACTGTGAGTCAGATTCCCATTCTAGTCTGTATCCCTCTCATGCCATAGTCTCTTAGCAAGCCAATTTACATGAACAACTGCACATCAACTGAAATTAATTCAGAGATTTCCTTCACCTACTTCCTAGGTGTTTTCCTTATTGCTTGAGATAAAAGTCTCATATTTGCCTATTTCTTGGAACTATGCCTACAACCACTGCCTTGCCCCTGCCAAGTTGAATTTTGCCTGAAGAAAATGATGTTTTCTGATGGAGGGTTGAGATGAATAGTTGGGCAAAAAAATGGATGGATGGGAAGATGAGGATGGCTGGATGGCCAGAAGGATGAGATGGATGTCTGGGTGAACGGGTAAGTAGATGGATAAATTGTTAAGTGGATGCACAGAAAAGAACAGAGGAATGGCTATGCGGGTAGATGAATGGATGAGTAGTTGAACACATAGATGGCTATGTGGGAGACTGGATGAATGAATGGATGCATAGATAGACATATAGACACACAAATATAAATAACCATACTTAGCTAGAATAAAAGATACGCACTCAGTTCCATCTTCACCACTTTGCACTGTGATTTGGGAAGCCCCCAGTTTGGGCCGGAGGAGATTTATCACATGGTTGTTCCAGAGGAACTTAACCTTCTGGATTTTTCCAACATTGAGATCCACATCAATATCATGCATGTGACTTGCATTTGGTTTGAGGGATCCTCTGAAAATACAGACATAAAATGTTATATCAGTTGGATATATGAATACTTAAGATGATGGTAGTCTATTATTTGTCTAAATAATAGCTGCTGTTGTTGGTTTTTTGCAAATACCTCGAATGACTTCATGCACATCCTGGGGTTGCCCAAAGCAAATGTCTTTGTGCAGAATACATCTTTAAAAATATTGGACTCCAGGTTCCTAATGTTTTTGTTTGTCCTTAGAGAGAAGTCAAATATTTGTGGTGGCATACTAACCCTATAAGTTCATCTCAGGACCAGTTAATGCAGTGCCTTATGTTTAAAGATGCATGTGGTTCAGCAAGTGCCATTTGTTAGCATCTTCTATGTAGCATAGGAAGTTGTCAAATGAATTTAACTCAATACAAAAGTGATTATGTAAAATTTAGTGCAAAACAGAATCTAATTTTGCCACACAGATTATGCATTAATCCAACATATATTTACCAGCACCTGATAGGCCCAGCAAAACTCAGGTGTCGAGGCCAACATAGTAAGAAGGTAGCACCAAGCTTCATGTGTACCTATATGTGTGAGATGGAGTGTGTGTTAGAGATGTGCCTTACCTGAAGAGAATTCAATATTTGTAAAAATTTAAGCCAGGTGGAATGAGCACATGACTCATTTTAAATAGTGAGTTCCTCTTCTCTGGGTCTCAACTCTTCTTATAGGTAAAATGGGATGATTGAGCTAGATGTTCATACTTCCTTTTAGCTCTAACATTCTAGGATTTAATGGTTCTGAATAATAGATGCCAAGAATTATAAAGCAGTTTATACCCAATCTTATGAATACTGTAGTAGGGAAAGTGTGGTCACTTCACTTTGCTATTTAACTTACTTGAAAATCTCATATTGCTTTGAGTTTCCATTACTTCCATACAAAGCAATTCTTATGTACCCACTCACTTTCTTTTTTCCAGACAGTGTGACTGATACCTGATATCTCCAACCTGTCGAAAGAAATACAACAAGCAGTTCAATGAACTCATCCTACTGAACAAATGACTTAATGGAAGCATTATTGTTTCAAGTTCTGAATCCCCCATGGGTGAGAGGTAATGGGGATGAAACTTAATTGAATCCCTGGGGCTCAGGAATTCAGATTTTAGGTGGAGGCAAGGAACTCAGAGGGCAGTAAATATTATAGTTCAGCACAATCTCTAGCCAATACACCAAGGTATGTGCCCTTGGGTGAATGAAGGGCATGTGGTTACTGTACATGTGTATCTTGACTGATACTTGGTGCAATGGACTGAATACTTGTGTTCCTCCAAAATTATGTTGAAATCCTATACCTCAGTGTGATAGTATTAGGAAGCAGAATCTTTGGTAGATAATCAGGATATGAGGGTAGAGCTCTCCTGAACGGGATCAGGGCCCTTATAAAAGGGAGCCCAGAAAACTCTCTTGTCTTCCACCATGTGGGAGGATATAACAGGGTGGCAGTGTGCACCAGAACCCAATCAGCTGGCACTCTGGTCTTGAGCTTTCAGTCTCCAGTACTGTAAGAAACAAATTTCTATTGTTTATAAGCCACCCAGTCTATAATATTCTTTTATAGCAGCCAGAACCAACGAGACACTTGGTGTACTGCATGTTGTTTTATGACTTACCTTTTCACTTAATGTGCCATAGAGGTTTTCTCTTTTCAGTACACAGAGCTGTCTCTTTTCTTTTAATGGTTATATGTAGTATTTAATGTATACTATTTAGTCATTTACCATATGGCAGACATTTAGGTTTTCCTCTTAACCTTTTGCTATTAAAAGCAATGAGCGCCCTTGAGCATAAGAAATGCACACATGCAAGTATATTTCTATAGTATGTTCTGAGAAGCAGAGTGACTGGGTTAAAGCAATGTGCATATAAGACTTTGTAAATACTGCCAAATGGTTACCTTTTATGATAAATATTATGAGGATTACATGAAATACTGTATGTAAAAAGTGTTTTAAAGTGCTGTATAATTTTTTAAAATTTAAAACTCCCTTGGAAAATAAATGCTCTTTTCTCCAGCCATTATATAATTTTTATCTATAGCAAATGAATCCTGATGATTTTACTGTCTTGTACTTTTTAAATGAGAAACAGGGAAAAATGACAACACAAAGTATGTATGTATGTGTATGTATTGGGAGTGGGGACTGTCTGATTATCATCATTGCAGTGACTTCTCGATTTACAATGACTTTGTCTCATGCTGCCCTCTTGTTCTGTTAATAGATACATCCTTTCTGCTACTGGGTGGACATATGACCCAGTCTGGCCAATCACTGTCCTTTGCTCTATTGAGCAGGATTATTTCTTAAAGGGATTAACTTGAGACCCAAGACCAATTTCATTCTATTGTCCTTACATCACAACTTAACGGATTCTGTCAATTGCTACCAAGTGTCCTCAATAATAAGCCGGGTATATCTTTTAAAATTACTTGCAAGAATTTTAAGTGAAGAAAATGGAAACTTACGAGTAAAGTTACCACTCTCTCCTGTGTTCAGGAAAAAGGTTTGTCCCACAGCGCTGGTTTTCCCCTTAAATTGATCAGCATAGTGCCCCATTTTGGGGCATCCTTCAGCTGGACAAGGAAAACAGCCATTCTAGTGGGAAACACAAAACAAAACAAAACGTAATTTTTCTGTTAGAGGCAGGTCTTTGCCTCACTCACTTAATCAGTTCATCTATCTATGTAACCGTTCATCCTTTCATCTACCCATACAAGCATTTATTTACCCATCCGTCCTCCATCCCTCTTCTCAGGTATCCATTCATTTTTTCATTCATCCATCCATTGATTCTCCCACCTATCCATTAATTCATGTATCTGTCTACCCATGCACGCATATGTGCATGCATCCAATCTCAGAACTGTACTAGGCCCTGCAGAGTATCCAAATAAGTACCTTTAAAACTTAGAATGCAGCTGGGTAGACAAGTCATATCCAGGAAACGGTAAAATTAAAATATCAAAGGGAAATACAAGGCAATCTCTCTAGGGAGAAGTAAATGGGAAAGATAACAAGTTATTTCAAAAGAAGAGAGAAAAAGAAGATCCATGATCATTTTCACTTTAATGTGAATTATTTCTCCAGACTCATTGATTCCTATCTGGGTCTCTTCAAATGGTACTTCTTTAATTGGGCCCAGAGGAGGCAGTTTACTCTCTTCAAATCAGGGATTTTTATCACTTCATGCCACTGTGTCACTGTCATCTGCTCTTTGACCTCAAGTCACGTCCAAAAATGCATGGTGTGCAGAGCTATTTTGTGATTTGGAAATCATAAAACAAGTACTAGAAACCACGTTATTATCCCTGCTCCAACAATAACTAGACCAGTGAAGGCTACTCACTGAACATTCACAGACCTTGAGGATAAAATGTGATGGCCTTTTGGCCTTAGTTCAACCCAAGAATGTCAAAGGTCAAAATTATCTTGAAAATAAAAAATGTGAGTTTAAGCAGTTTTACTTTTACCTTTGAGAAAAATATTTTAAAATACCAAACTTTTGCAACCCCCAATGCGATAATTGATTCAGGAAAAGATCATCAACAGAAACTCAGACCTTTCAATGGGTTTGTTATTGGGGAAAAATATCACCTAATATGTAGATGACTTAAGAGAAATGGTGCTTTCATAATGGAGAAATCTGGCAGTAGCATCTTAACCAAGTAATCAAAATTTATGTCATTAAATAATGGACAAAGTGCCATTAAATGATTCCCCTTGACTGTAATTCACCAGGATGGACCTGATATCACTTATTAAAACACAAAGAAATAATCAAACAATTTCAGAGAGTGTGATATTCTACCAGATACCTGGTCTGGAATCCTCATAGCTATCAATGTCCTGTAAGACCAAGAAAAAAGGGGAAACTGTCCTGGATTAAAGGAGACTAAGCGGACAAGACAGTAAATGCAATGCAGGAAAAAGAAGGGAAGGAAATAACAAAAGGAAATAAAGAAAGAAGACAGACACAGCTCTAAAAGGCATTATTTGGATAACTGGAGAAGTTTAAATATGAGCTCTATATTAGAAAATATTAGTATATTAAAGTTAAATTTATTGAATGTAATACTATAGGAAAATGACCTTATTCTTAGGAGACTAAGACTGAAGTTTTTATGAGCAAAGTGTCACAAGTTTTTATGAGCAAAGTGTCTTTAATTTACTTTCATATGATTTAGAAAAAAGTATACACATATACACACACACACACACACACGTTAGCAACTGGTGCATCTAGATGATGGACGTACAGGTATTCATTGTGCTCTTCCTTTGACTTCTGTGCAGACTGGACATTTTTCTAAATGAAAAGCTGAGGATCTCAGGGAGGATCTGTGCCTTCCCCTTCCAGCCCATCCTGCTCCCACAGGAAGAAGGCTTTGTGAGGCTCAGAATTTCTATCACCTCCTCATTTCAGTCACATCTGTTTGTTCTAGTCTAAGTCACAGTGATAAAAATACCAGCCACAGGCCCACCAATATCTTCCCCAGCTCTTTGGAGTAACCTACCTCTTGAAACTCATGGTAGGAGGCACAGGCATAGCCTAGGAAGCCATCAGGGCTGATGATACTGCTTGAATAATACTTGTAGCTTCGAAGATGATTGCAAGCTACAAAGTCACGGGTTCCTAAAAATGCAAAGGCCACAGGCACTCAAAGGAAGCCTTTCACTTTTAAAATGTGAACCAATCTGACCTAGTGAGGAATCACCTCCATACTTCTCTGATCAGCGCTCTTGAACACTTTGGGGTATTTGCTGAGGAAAGCCTGCTCAGGATTAATCAACTGTGGAGGAGTGACAAGTTCTAACAAGTGCATATGTCCATTCACACAAGCATGTAACACAAATGGATTAGGAGGGCAGGGGGCCAAGATGAGGGTGAGGGAGAGGCAAAGAGAAGTGTGTGCGTGCACACACATGTGCACACACATACAAACACACACACAGAGTAGCAGAGACACACGCAGAGAGACAGAGAAACAGAGAACAGAGAGAGAGAGGAGAAAGATTCAGAGAGAGAGAAAGAGAGAGAGACAGAGACAGAGAAGCAGACAGACATATGTTTCTCTCTCCCTACACACACACACACACACACACACACAGAGAGAGAGAGAGAGAGAGAGAGAGAGAGAGAGAGAGAGAGAGAATGAGAAGATAGCAATCGTTTTTAAAAGAAATCCTACACAGCCCAGCCAGTTGTTGCTGTTAAAGCCCAAACTGCTTGGTCTTCTGATTGTTCATGAGAAACAAGAGTCTCGACTTGTACATGAAAATCTTCCCATGCTTAAGTGACAGCAGTGCACCCCCTTTTAAAAGACAGTCACTGTGCAGGGCCATCAAATGCTGTTGTGGATCACATTCTACCCATGTGTGGATTCTGGATCACCCCGGACAGACCTTTCTTTCCCAGGCACCAACATTTTCTGCGTCTATGGCCAAAGGCCGAGAAATTCCTTCTCTTTGCTATGCCAGGCACAAGGCAAAAGCAGTGGAGAACAAGGCCACTGTGGACTCTGGCGATTCTTTCACTGCATTTTATTTATCACTTTTTTCTTTAAACTAAAGTCCTTTTATTTAGGAGATTGTTTTTTTCATTTTCCTGGCTACTTGGTACAGAACTTCCCATAGAGTAATCCCCAGTGACCATGGACACACCTGGGGACCACTCCTGGGGGGGTCTGGTTGGCATTATTCCCCACAGAGGAAGAAATATTCTGCTTTGTGCCCAGAGTGACTTTGCTCTCCACAGCTCCTGGCTCTCTGTCCAGCAACTTCCCCTCAAAGCCGAGTTCCCGTGTCCCACACAGGCGCTCATCACCAGACAACAGAACCTGCTTCAAACTTAATTGTTTCTTTCATCCAAAATTGCTGCCCGGGGATGCCATAATGGAGGAGAAAGTGGATTTAATTGTTCCTTGGTGCCCAGCGCCTGGGTGACTCGGAGCTCAACACAATAGAAACACACACCAGTGTTCATGGGCTTGTTCACTCTAAATTGCCTCTCTAATTAAACCTGGACTTGTTCCTATTATGTGTGCCCTGCTCGTCATCTGTGGGAGGGGGCAGCTATTATTGTGACTCTGGTGTTCTTTCAGGGAGTGTGAAATAGCCACATCTTCCCAGGAGTTACCCGGTGTGGAGCCGAGAGGTCAAAAGCTCCGTTTATTTGTCAGCGGATGCTTTATCGACTGCCCTTTGACATTAAGCACAAGGAATGTTAGAATGCCATACAAGGCCACTCAACTCAATTTAAGAGTATTTTGGTGCCTGCTTTGGACTAGACCCTGAGCAGTATACCGGGGTTGTCTGGGATGCCCAAGACACAGCACTCAACCTTGAGGAAGTCCCAGCTCAGAAAAATAAAGGCAAATAAAATGATTACAGACCTAGAGCCCTGCTTTTAGAGAGGAGAGGGACACTTGGTCTCAGGGGAAGGGCAATAGGACTATAGGTCAGAACAAGGCGCCACTACGGCAGATGGTGCTGTGAGGCTGCCTGATGTTAAGGGCACAGATCCTGCTCTCTCAGTGAACCAAAACCCACACAAGGTTCACCAGCAGCCACCATGGGTCCCCCAGACTTCCAGGCCTCCCCTTCCACATACACACCCCAAACTTACTTCCTCCTTTGCCTTCTCACCAGCTCTTCCTCTCCTATTTCTAGCACTTTACAACAGCAATCAGCAAGGAAGCTCTTTGAATCTTTGCCTATGCACTGCAGTTCTGCAAGGAGCAAGTGCTGCAGGTAGCATGGGTGGCCAAAGCCAGAGGCAGATATTTGCCAAAGTGCCAGTCTGACCCTTGTCCTAGTATCCTGACAACTGGGGGAGATGCACAGGCTGGGGCATAAGATCAGGGATTTACAGTCAGAAATTGGGTTTAAATATAGAGTGGACTTGGAAAAGCTATGTAACTTTTCTGAGCCCCAGTTTTTGCCATCTGCAAAATGGGTCCAAAAAGAGTAACCATCTCATAGCACTGTTATGAAAATGCATGGCACAGAATAAGCATTCCATAAATGATGGGAAATTTCAGTGTTATGAAGGCTAGACCACACATTCTGTTTTCTTCCCCCAAAAAGAAATTGCTGTCTTACTTGAATTTACGTACCTTCCCATATTCCACTTATATCAATGATGGTTGAAAGGATATTTTTCTGACATCCAGGCATTTGCTCGCCTCCATTTGGAAAGAAATCCAGATGGCCCACCTTTTGGCTCATTCCAAAACCTGAGGCATTTGAAGCAGAGGTGAGCAGAAAGATAAGTGGTCCCAAAGTTAGGCTGTGGCCACAGCAAGATGTTCAACTTGCTTCAGTCGGAATCAGAACCTTCTTGGCAGATTCTCCCCTCAGCACCATTGCCTCTAACTCTGCAGAAAGTTCTCAAAGATGGGTGCTCAGCAAGACAAGGAGTGAGAAGAGAGCAGAAGTGAGAGGAGGGGGAAGCTTGGCCTTAGCTGATGTGCACGTGTGACTGTCTCGGGGAGGTCCTAGACAATACTGATATACCCTGATATCATTATGCATCAGCAGACACATATCAGGACTGTCATTTTTATTACTTTATCCATTTTAAAATTTTTATTTCTACATTTTATTGTTATATTGAGACCACAAAATGTTGTTTCATGGAGAGCCACAGCATAATGGCTAGGAGCTTTGGCTTTTGAGGTACACAGACCTGTGACCAAATCCTGGTTCTACTTACAGACTTTGCAGTCTTAGGCAATTACCTAACCTAATTGAGCCTCAGTTCCTTAGCTATGACACAGTGATAATAATACTCACTTTTTAGAGTGTTATAGGATTAATGAGCTATTCTGTGCAAAACGTTCAGTGTAGTACATGGCAAACACTCAGTAAGTGATAACATCATTATCATCATCATTAAAAAATATTCTTTATTGACAAGTTTTATGAGTGGTTATATAAGAAAATATTGAACAAAGAACACTGATTTTAGAGGAATTAAATAAAGGGATATACTTAGTCTCCAACAAAACAAACTGTAACCAAAGCTTTGACAAAAGAAGTAAGAAAAAAATTCGAAAGTTAAATTTGAATTTTGCAAGTACAGGTCAAGTACTAATAATAAATACACTACCACTTTAGTAATTGGTAGATTGGGGAAGGATACGGGGTTTGAGGACTGAGTGACAACCTTCCATGGACTATAGAAGGGTTTTTTGGGTTTTTTTTTTGTTATCATTTTTGTTTTTTGTCTAACACAGACCACAAACTGATACCACTGGCATTGTACTGGCTGTTTGAGGTTGGTCCATTTTGACTGGTTGGTGCCTGAGCCATTCCTGCAGTTTGTGTGTGTCTGTGTAGGACACCTAGACCCAATGTCATCAGTTATTGTCCTGGATGCCAGGAGATGGGATTGAGGAACTCACCTAGGTAAGGGACTATGGAAGCAGAATCTGTGTGAATCACATCCACAAACATGGCATCGGATGGGTCCAGCCGAACCTCCTCGGGTGTGCCCTGGAAGCATGGCTCTGCCGGATCCAGCCCTGAAAGGGAGGAAGTGGACAAATTTTACCCTAAGAAAAACCAGGATCTAAACCCCATACCAGCAAACTGAGAATGGGGATTCCTAGGCAAAGGGCTCCATATCCCAGCAGGTATGCTTCAGGGGAATTGGGTCTGCAGCTCCTGGTCTGCTTGGGAGAGAGCATGGGACAAATGCTGGGAATGGAGTCATTGCCTGTGGAAGAGCATTCAGAAATTCCTAGTGCCTGACTCCATGGAGGACCTGGATAGAGCCCTTGCCCCACCCCTCATCTCCTTTTTTCTTTTTTTCTTCACATGTTACCATTGGGCCACTCCTGTCAAAGACTGCAAGCCCCCCTGCCTTGTCTAGTCCCTGAGCCCTGCATGCATTTTTGTGTGTCTTTTTTCACACTGGTCCCCAGTCTGCTGCACCCTTTCCCACATTTCCCTCTATCTAAATCTTTCACATTGGTCCCCAGTCTGCTGCATCTTTCCCCACATTTTCCCTCTTTCTAAGACCCAGTTCAAACACCACCACCTCATGCTTACATGGAAAATCGAGCCCTTTTCCTTTCTCAACCCATTCCATCCACATTGTATTGTTTTGCATTTATTAATTCTACTGTGAATTTTATTTCCCTACTTAGTGGTCTGCCTCCTGGACTAGACTGTGGATTTCTGAACTAGGAGCTGTGCCCAGGTCATCCTCAAAGAGAAGCAGGGTGGGAGGAGTGGTACACACAGTGACCTGTATTCTTGCTCTGGTTCTGCTCCAGGTCAAATGCCTATCCTCTCTGAGTGTCAGTGTCCTTATGGGGAAAGCACGAATAATGACAACAACCTACATTACAGGGTTATTGTGAAAAGCCCATGAAAAGATGTAACAGAAAAGACTTTGCAAACTGCACAGTTCTACATAAACATGAACTATGACCCTTGAGCTAAGAGGACGCTCATTAAATGTTGAATTGAATTGTTTGTTGAAGTTACATGCCGATTGGGGCTGCACAGAATAAACAGTCATTCATTCATTCATTTAGTGTTTACTGAACACTTTCCATGTGGCCGGTCTCAGCGAACCATTTTCATTTTCTGTGTGCGCCTGGCACAGCAAAGGCTTTCAATAAAGTTTGGGAACTGATGACTTTTTTCATTACCTCACTGTTTTTTTGTTTTTGTTTTTTACCTTGCCAAACTCTAGCAATAATAACTTTCAAGTCATGGATTTAATAAGCTAGTTAAATCTTTCTTTTGAAAAATAAATGTATTTGGAACCATCCGTTTTCTAATATACATTAAAATATATGGACGTTTATTTCTAAATCAAAGTCTGGGCATCATCTAAATTCAGTTTCTGGCGGGCCAGCAGGGACGCCCCTCGCCGTGGGAAGCTCACTGACGGAAGTTTCCGTACCCCAGGTCTTGAGACCCCGCGACCCCTACCTGTGATCCTGCCCACGCGGCCCTCCAGCCTCCTGCCCGCCTCCGCGGCCGCGTGCGCGCCCAGGCTGTGGCCGATGAGGTGCACGTCTTCGGGGCTGAACCCCCGCTGGGTCTGCGGAGGGATGGCGCGTCAGGTGGCACAGCACCGCGTGAGGACTCGCGGGTAGAAAAGCGCCTGCCAGGGATGGCGAGGACCCGGGCTCGCACAGCAGGAGCTCGAGGACGCCGCCTGGGCCGGCTGCAGTCTGCGAGTCCCGCGGCCGGCTGGTGAGCGGGGCAACAGTGCTGACCAGCGGCCACCGTGCCAACTGCAGGCCTCCGGGGCCAAGGAGGCGCGCGCGCTGCCTGCCGCCCCCGCGCCCGGCTGAGGACGCCCTTGCCCTGTCCCTGACAGGGTGACGCTGTCGGGAGAGCGTGAATAGTGGGTCCGGCTCTGGGGTCTCCCAGAATAGTCTGGGCAGAAGGGTGTCCGGGAGCTTCCCTCAGGGACTGGCTGAGTATGAAAACACATCTTATGCCCTGAGAACTGCTGACCAGCACAGCCTGGAGCTCTAATTCCCAGAATAGACGGCCTTGTTTCAAAAGGGGAAACGGAGGCTCCACGAGGTTAGTTCGTCCCAGGCCCCACGGCGAGGAAATGATGGGGCGTGGTGGCTTCAGGAAAGTAGGCAACATAGGAAGCTTGCCGCTTCTTAGGAAGGGCCTTTCTTCGTTCGATCCTGGACTACTTGCTGCTGGCCCCTATCTTCAGGCTGCCTCTAGGTGCAAAGTGGCGCTTCCCTGCTCCTCTCTCTGCCACCTAACCACAGGACCCACCCAGCCCAGCGGGGTTTTACCGACAGCACTTGTATTAAGAAAGCGATCTCTGCCCCGACGACCCGGATGTTGTGCACGGCTTGAGTGTATGTTGTTCGGGCCCCGCGCCTCCAGTCCACACAGACACAGTTCACCTGCTCCACTTTAAACATTTTCTGAGGAAGACAAATAACAGGGCCAAACCAATTTATAAACAGCCCCAGACCGCACACCTCAGAGATAGGAATTCATATCCATCAAGCACCTAGCTTGTCAGAGCTTTCATATTCCTATGCCCATCATAACTTCATCCTCACTTCAACACCGTGAACGGGATATGCTAATACCTACTTAAAGGATGTGAAACTGAGGCCCGGAATGGGGGAGTGACTTGTCTCATGGATGGTTATTGACATGGCTGAGTCAAAATGATCCCTTTATCAGTAGTGAGCAAACTACTACCCGATAAAATGTCAAATTTAGCTCCTCGGTTGTACCACTCACATTTCAAGTGCTCAGTAACATTCTTGGCTAGTGATTCCTGATCTGGACAGTGCAGATATAGAACATTTTTTGCCATCACTGAATGGTCTATCCAATGGCAGTGCTTTAGAGGGTAAAATTTAAGTGTTTTTTTATGTCATGTGGTGGTTTTATGGAAGCCATCAGGAACAAATGCCAGATGGCTTACTGTAGTCTCCATCTCAGACACCTTTTGACTGGACTCTGGATCTTTTCTGCCTCAGAGGAGATGGTTGGCGATGCATTCTTAGATAGGGAGAGCTTTGCAATAGATGCAATAGAGAACCAGGCTTTCTTCCATGGTTTTAGGGAGAACTCATCTTTCCCTGGAGTATTTCCTTTCCCAGTCTTAGGGAGCTTTGGAGGTACAGTGTTTGAATCTGTGTGTTGGGCACTGGCCTCACCAGGGAGTATTCAGGTGTGTGTGGGGTTACCTTGCACATGTCTGACAGCCAGTTCTCCTCCCCCTTGTCTATGAAGCCATGGATGATGAAGCGTGTCTTGCGGTCCAGTTGGAAGTTTGAAGCTTCAATGGTATCTGGGTCGGTGGCAGTGATTAGCTAGTTTAATTTAAAAAGATAAATTTGAATGCTGACTTTTCCAGTCATGGGTCTGTCAGAGCCAGACTCATTAGGACTGAGATCACAGGCTCAAATCTCGTACAGTTGGGTCAGACTAGAAGGTGCTCCTGACCTGGGGCTATGGACAGAATTCAAAAAGTCCAAGCACATGAACCCCTAACCAAAATTTAATATTTCTGTTAAGTATGAAATTAAGCAATAACCACGGTGGTATTAGCAACATCTGTGACTCTGACCCAATTGAAATCACAGATATTTTCATGTCATATTATTGTTATTGCAGATATCTCAAAATACCTTTTACACTCATTATTATTTTAAATTATAGCAATTATTAGACCAACCTCTAGTTCTTGTTATTTAGTGAGATAATAAAGCAGCACGTATATGACTGTATAACATATTTATACTTTTTATGTTTTGATAACTGTTTTCCAGTATAATCGGTTTCTTTATAATGCAATATTTTTTATTTTATGCATTTAAAAATATTGTCCTGAGAAGAGGTGTGTAGGCTTCCCTCGGTGGTTAAAGCGGTCCCTGGCACAGGAAAAGTGAGGAACCCTTGGACCAGAAGCTTGGGTCTGAGGGCAGATTCAACTCAGTGGGGCAGTGTAACTTTTAGAACACATTCGTAAATGCCCTTAAGCTGGCTCAAGCCTCCTTCCCCCAACCCCCTTGGACAAGATGCCTAAAGAAGGATCATGAAATAAAAATAGCACAGTAAACATGTCCAAGTAGACTCTGGGCTGGGGACACCGGCTGGAAATTTGTCATGCAGAGTCCCACAGTGGATGACTTTGGGAACCCAGGGATAGACACCGGACTTTCTAAACTCTGTCAGGGCCCAGAGCTACAAGCTTCTTGAATTCTTAGCAAGGTCTTCCTTGAAACTACTCCTGGTCATTTCTGACGACCTAGAGTAAACTTGCTCCACTTCCACCTGGTAGGCCTGCTGGGAAGTGAAGGTTGCTCCAAAGGACTTTATCTTTTCTCTTTTGTGGTTAAATGACCCTCTACCTGCTTTCTAGCTCTTGGGAAGGATTTACACCCCTTCACCCCCAACACCTGTGGGGCTTCTCTCCTTCCCATTGCCCAGTCCAGAGAGGAGACAGTCTTTCTTGACTCGGTCTGGGGTTTGCTATACATGCTACTCATATTCCATTCTTCCCATTGAACAAGGTGCTTCTGCTGGAGTAGACCCTGAAGTTCTATGCACCAGCGTGTGTGTGAATGTGTACGTTTCTGGGTTAGGCAACCGTAGATTTCATTAGATACTCAGAGATTCAAGATCCTGAGAACTAAAATGGCTCCAGGTCTAGCATTGGTGAGACAGTATCATCTGGAAAGTCCTAAGACGGTGGATTATGCCTTCGACAGCCAAAGACTCGAGTGCAGGGGCCCACATATACCCACCACACTGTCATTATATGCCCACTCTTACTTGGAAGTTGTTTGGATTTTCATTTGTGTACAGAAGAAAGCGGGTATCGATGTCCTTGGGGGCCCAGGGAAATAACTTCAAAGGTCGCTGAAGGATTTCTGCCCATGGTTTTTCATCAGAAAAACATCCAAGATGTCCATAGCAGATCTCTTTTCCTAAGACAGGAAGTTACAAACAGGACAGTTGTGAAGTTCTGGAAAGGAACAATGTAATCTATAAACAGGAAGACTCTGTAGGATAACTAAGGCCAATGCTGGTCTTTATCTTTACCATTAGTGTTCCCCAAACTTCTGAGGTAATAAGAGTCGCCTGGGGTCTGGAGTTGAATATATATATATATATATATATCATATATGCATTCCTAGACCCCTTCCTCAGACATTGTGATTTAGAGAGTCTGGGTGGGATCCTGGAAACAATATTCAATAAATGCCCCTTATCATCAGGGAAGCTGGGGTATTGCTGACCTACAACCTAGAAACTCTGTAGCACGGAGATACTACTTATTTCTTCTTAACATCTCCATTACATGCTGCATAGGTTGTGCACACAGTACAGGCTGTGTGCCGATATATGTTCAATTTACATGTCTTCATGTCATTCTTTTATGCATTTTTTCCCCCAAATTATTCTCTGCCATTTCAGACTTTCCCTTTGCTTTTTGGAAAGGGTTCTTAAGAACAGGAATGATTTATGTGTGCACCACACCGTAAGTAATAGGAGTTCAATACTTGGAATTGATAGCCCAGATAACCACATGTAAGTCTGAGAGTCCATTCTGTGTCTATAACATACATATTATCATAGGAAATGGTCAATAGTGGTGACAAGATTCAAATTCAAAGAATTATAATGAATCTTCTCTCTTAGGCTTCCTCAACTCCTAAACTGATGGTGCCAAATATTGGTCAATCATTTAAAAACTAGTGATAGTTAATACTTGTTTACTATATGCCAGATACCATGGTAGTGCTTTCTGGTATTATCTCATTTAAGTCTGGAAATATGAATAGGGAATAAGTATTGTCTACATTTTATGGCAGAGAGGCAAAATAAGCTTCTCAAGGTCACAGCTAGTGGTAAAGGTGGGATTTGAACCAAGAATTTGTGTTGAGAATAAAGCTAGAGATGGAGGTTGTATAAAGACAAATTGGATAAAAAACCCTGTCCTGAAAGAGAGAAGGTCCAATGGGGAAGAAATACTGGTGGTGTTTAATTCATTCCAGGAAGAGGGAACACTCTTGGAGTGAGGACTACAGGAGGCTCAAGCAACGTTTGCCCGAGGGGAATGGTAGTTGTGTCCTGATGGTAAATGAAAGGGCCTGAATGCCAGGTTAAGACATTTGGGCCTCTTATGGTGAGAGCAGGGATGTACAGGAGGTTGTTGAGTTGGTAAGGTTGAGGGGAGGTGGTGGCAGAGGGGTGGTGCTGTGCTTTCTGAAGGTGTTTTTGGCACCAGAGTGCAGGTGACTCAGAAGTAAGAGAGCTTGGAAGGGGATGGGGCAGTGGGGTGGGTATGGATGTGGAGGTGGGCAGTGCAGGGCTGGTGGGCCTGAAGAGAAGAGGGCCCATTCTTGTCATGGGCATTCTAATTTAGGTGATTGGGATGATGGTGGAAAGTCAGGAGAAGTGGGGTAATGGGGGAAGGGAGTGGTGTCCCAAGCCTGGTTTACTGAGTCTGAGGTATGGCCCTGGTGGGGCTTCCTGGAACTTGGAAGGAGAAGAGGGAAGCCCCAAGAAGGAGAGAGATGAGGAGAGATCCCAGGGTGAACCTTGGGGAATGCTCACATCTGGGGCTGGAGGAGACAGCAGATCAGCAGAGAAGAACGAGGGGCTGGAAAGGCCCGAGGAGCAGCAGGACCCATGCCAGGCTCGGTCATCAAGAGCTTGCTCTATAGTTGGGATGGAAAAAGAACAAAGCCAAGAAAAGGCTGGAGGCACTGCGGGGAAGAGGAGTGAGGCTGAAGAAAGCCCCTGCAGGAACCCAAGGAGACCATGTCTGCTCCAGCAGGGGTCCAAGTCAGACAGCGCAGGGTCTGACCGGGGAAGAGGTAAGGCAACCCCCACAGAGGGTGAAAGGCTCCATGGATGCACCTGTGGGAAGCAAGCAGGCTGGGAGCTCGGGGAACTTCAGGGGCAAGGGAGGTGATTTTGGCTTTAGGACAAATAGAACTTGGGTATCAGTACCTCCTCTGGACAGACCTAGATGGGAGAAACAAATTGGAGAGACAGAGACAGTAACTGAGAAAAAGAACATGAGCACAGTGGCAGAACATTGGGTTTGCCTGACAGGATTCGGCAATCTTGGTGGGGGGAGGGGGGAGGTGGAAGGAGGGGAGCACACATGTGGCTTAAGTCTGCAGATAAAGATAAGGGCGTTGGGTTCTGACAAGAATGCACCACCCCCCTCCCGCTCCAGCCACCTGCCATCTGCCTCACAGCTGCTGGAGCCTTCCAGGAAGAAGGGGACCAAGCATGAGGAAGACCCGAGATCATCCCTGTCCAACACATTGCCCTGTGCTTGCCTCAGAGTCAATACTCCTTGATGGTGCAATTGTTCCTGTTCTTCAAGTAATGGTAATGCTCTTCACAATGATTATAATCATAATTATTATGCTTCTAGGTGCCTCAAAGGCCAGCCCGGGCATGACACTTTCTCCCCAAAGGAATGGTGACAGTATCCTCACCTCTAACTGTGGCCAGCAGGAGAAGGCTGAGAGTCCAAGTGAGCAGCATCTGCGTGGATGAAAACACAGACACATACAGACACCACGTGCACAGCGTGAGGCTGGTACTGGCAGGACCCAGCCAGGGCAGGAGGCCTGGGACACACATGGGATAGTAGTGGGACAGACACCCAGAGGCCTGGGCCCCATAGGACTCCCCTTTGAGGTGGAGACCCTCAGACTGAGGTATCTCAGGGCACAGAGAGTTGGACAGCAGCACACCAGGATCCCGGGCTCAGGGGCTCCACTGCAGCAGCTTCTCCCCCTCTGGGCCACCTCCCTCTAGCAACCCAGGGCTGCCCCAGCCCTGCCAAGCCCCCTGCCCATGTGGGGCCATGACTACTTACTGTGCTGCACCGGAGCTTCCACTCTCAGTCCAGCAGGTTGGCTGTGGCTTTTTATAATCAGGCTTTATCCTTTGGACTCCTTAGAGGAAAGGCCAGAGCAGGAGAGATAGGGTGCTGTACATGGGCACTTTGAAGCTAAGTTATCATAAACACATAAAGTCAGCTTAACCCAGGGAGCAGAACTGTTTATAAAGTGGAATTGAGAAAAGGAAAGCCGACTTTGGGGAGGGGAAGGGGTCTGTTAATCTGAGTTTACTGAGTCAGTTGCCAAAAGATTGTGTGCCCAAAGTGATAACAGGAAAACACCAAGCTGTGCATAGCACTTCCGGATCCAAATCCCTTCAGACACAGGAACCAGAAACCCATCATGTTGGTCTTGTTGCTCTTGACAGACCATGCAGGGTTGGGAAGTCTGAGCACTTACTGCTCAGTGGAAATGAGTGTTTATGAAGACATTCACTTCATTTACTTTAGAGACAGGGTGGGTGGCAAGCACCCCCAACCCCCTACTGAACATAGACAGAGAATAAAAGTGAAGGCAACCCTGCTGACCAAGAAGCTCAGAAGGATAAAATGAACACTGCTCAAGTACAACTTTGTTTAGAAATGATAGAGTCTATTTTACAAGCACATAGCATTTCTGCACTGCGCTGACTGTACCTTGACCTGGAGATAAGTTAAAATATTTTCTTTCCTTCACTATTAAGAGGAGAACCTGGGTGAATAACCAGGTGTTGCCCTTCCAGGTTTTAAACTGGCAAGTAATTTAGATACACAAAAGTGCATGGATCTTAAGTTTAAAACTTAAGTACAATTCAATTCGTTTTGGCAAATATCTCCTCCTATGTATGCACATGTTCTAGATCAAAATGTAAAACATTTACAACAGCCAGAAGTTTCTCTCATGATCTTTCTACTACAATCCTCCTAATAATGCTTTCATTTCTATCACCATAGATTGGTTTTGTCTATTCTAGAACGTCTTATAAATGGAATGACACAGTATGTGCTCTTTATTATCTTGCCTTCATTCACAAGACATTTTTTAGATTTATTCATATTGTTACATGTATCAGTAGTTGGCTCATTTTCATTGCTGTGTAGTAGTGATATATTCCTGTGAGAATATATTACAAATTGTTTATCTGTTCTGCGGTTGGTGGACATCTGAATTCTTTCCAGTTTGGGGCTATTATGAATGCTACTGCTAGGAACATTCTAGTCTAGTACAAGTCTTTTCGTTGACATGTGAACTCATTTCTCTTGTGTTTATTGTGGGGGTCCTGGGCATGTGCATGAGAAGCTTTAGGAGATGCTGCTAAACAGTTTTCCAATGTGGTTGCACCAGTGTAAACTCTCACCAGTAGTTGGATGGGAGTTTTAGTTGCTTCCCATTCCACTCCTGCCCTTTGAGCAGTCCCAGAAGTGCTAAGGTTGCCAATAATTTTCTGAGGGTTTCAAGTGTAGAACAACAGACTTTTTTTTTTTTTTTGAGTTGGAGTTTCACTCTGTTGCCCAGGCTAGAGTGCAGTGGCACGCTCATGACCACTCCACCTGCTGGGCTCCCGCGATCCTTCTGCCTCAGCCTTCCAAGTAACTGGAACTACAGGCATGAGCTACCATGCCTGGCTAATTTTTTATTTGTTGTAGAGATGAGGTCTCACCAAGTTGCCTGGGCTGGTCTTGAACTAGATTTTCTTTTTGGTGAAACTTTCTTCTGAGAATTCTGAGAAGTGAGCAGTGCAGAGTTGAGGGAAGTCAAGGAATCAACTTCCCTATTTCAAATGGGCTTAAGAAAAGTCAAGGTTTATGGGACTGATAAAGTGTTGATAAGGCCTGAGTGGGGTCACTGATGCCTTAGTGAATCTAAGGCCTAATGTTACCGCCTGCTGCCCCTGGAGGTGTTCAGCTGCTGAGGAAGATCAGGGTGAAGGCTTAGAAGTCATGCTCATAAGGTACCGCACTGAGAAGCCTGGAATGACAATATTAGGGTAAATGAAGCCCTAGGTCCATGACATGGGGTTAGTGTCTGCCTGTAGCTCTTGGGAAAACATCCAGACTCCGTATGTGGCCTTTAGGCGCAGTGTTATCTGGACCTCATCTTTCTCCCTGATCTCGCTTGTCTCTCCTTCACTCACTAAAACTCCAGGTAGTCTCTTGAAAGTGCACATCTCAGGGTCTTTGCACATTCTGTTTCCTCCTCCTGACATACTCTTCCCATTTCCGGCCTAAATCAGTCATCCTTCAGGGCTCATCTTACAAAGAAGCTTTTTCCAACCTCCAAATGGAAAACAGACTTTCCTTAATATCTCTTTTCATGTTCCTTATCTGTCCTTTCATAGAAAGTATCCCAATTGATAATTATATTTCCAAGATAACTTGTTTAGATCTTGCCTTGCTAAAATAGTCAAGGTCTGCATAGTCATTGCTGTGTTGCCAGAGCAACAGGTAGTAAGTGATTAATAAATGTTTGCCAATGTAAGAATTAACAGTTAATGACTCATTGGGTTGGTGGATTGGATAACTCCCATTTGCCTCTCCAGAGTTAGTTCCCGCCTCTTCCTCCCTGCTCTGTGCCCCGAGGCTACCTCTGTGGAATGCCTCCCTGCTCTGTGCCCTGAGGCTGTCTCTGTGGATTGCCTCCCCGGGCTACCTGCCCTTGGTTTTCTGGTTGGGTTCCGGTAAGAGGTGGTACCAGTAGAAAATTGTTGGAGATTACTGAGAGCAAGAGGTTGGAGTATTTATTCCCCAGGTCTGACAGGTACAGACGACCACTGGACTCCTCCTGAGAAAGAACGATTAGGAGATTAGCTAGGTCTTGAGCACCTTCTTTTCCTGATTCTATATTCCTACTGAAGGTTTCTGTCTTATTATGAGAGGGTTTTGGATTGTGTAGTTCTTTGATTTTTGGTTTTGCCACTCATACAGCAGCCAACCCATTTTGTGACTTGACTGTAGAGTTTGCTGAGGTTTAGCTAAGGCACTTTCAGATAATCTGTGGGAGCAATTAACCATGCTCACCTGGTTCCAGTCACAGAATTAGTCAAGGAATCCAGGGAAAACTTCTCACCAGAGTGGTCAGTAGTGTTTTTATCCAGTCAACATCCACCCCAGAAGGCAGAGCTAGAAAGAAGGGAGAGGTTACGATTCCTTTAGGCAAGAAGTGATTCTTGTCATTTGCAGGTTACTAAGCTCGGTTGTAAATGCCAAGGCAGGCCATAACCACCTGTGCCCTTGAGAGACTAACTGAGGCAGATTTGCTCATGAAAGGAAAAATGTTCCAAAGGATAGACTCATTGCAAAGTAGAATAGGGTTTCATTGGTGGGAAGTGAGTTCTCTGTCTCTCTTGAATGACATTAGAACCTTCGTAAAGGTGGACAGAAGTTGAGCATCAGGTAAGGGTTAACTTAGGTGATCTACATCCAAGGTCATTTTCAAATCTGGGGTCTTACAAAAAAATTTTGGAAACTGCAATCTGGAGAAAGGATTCTGCCTTTGTTTTCAAGCAAGAGTCACCCTGAAGGAGCACATCATTTAAATATCCTTTTAAAGAGAAGGTGATGATGATGACCAAGGTAATGAGGAATAAGCTAAACAAACGCATATGGGTAATACAGTCCCAAGAATGGATATTAGGGACCATGGTGAGGAGCTGAGTATATACGTGAAAGAAATTAGGTGGTGGTGGTTCAAAAGGTGTCCGTAGATAAACAGCATTAATCAAATCCAAGCTCTTAGAGCTGTAAAACACTCAACAAATAGTCTTGTTTAATTCCCATTTACAGCTGAGACAACAGAGGCCCAGAAAACTTGAAGGGCTTTGAATAGAAGAGTAGAGCCTTGATCTCTGGCCCTACTTCTCCTACTGTGGTGCTATTGTCTTTCCTACTGCTGGTCTCAGTTTGTTGATCTGTAAAATGGATAGAATCTAGGTTGATCTAGGAACATTGTCCCTGCAACAAGCTGCCCTCCAAAGAAAGGTGGGGACTCCTGTCCTGTTCTATTTTTCAAGATTGCCCAAGGCAGAAAACTGGGCTCCAGGTTGCCACCCAGGGCACTCATGCACTCATTTTCTCCCACCTGTCTCCCCAGGCCAAGGCTAGCTCATCTCCCCTCCCTTCTCTGGGGCAATGTGAAAGACCCAGGTTCTGTCAGCTGTCTGCTGTGGGAAGGAAGTGAAGGCCAGCACCTGTGGGAAAACTCACTTGCTGACCACATGGTTGGTAGGTGGCAGGGTCAGGGCCTGGGTGAGCCAGGACATGGCAGCTGTCCAGGGGATGGGGGTGGCTTGGGTCCTCCTTCACCTGCACTTGAGGCCTGTTGAAACCTATTTTTCGCTCTACTTAATGCTTCATGTATCTGTCCTTTCCTCTCATTCCCCCTGCCCTTGCCTTCCTGTGACTGGCATCACCTCTCTCTAGGCCACTGCATCTTCCTCTTCAGGTGATCCTTTCTTCACTTCCTAAAGTTCCTCCCAGCTTTAACCCTGTAATTAGCTCCTACTATCCTCAGATGCATTATTCCTGTTTTGCTTTATTCATTCACGTTCATTTCTATGTGGCTTCAACATGCTGGATGCTCTTCTAGCCTTGAAGATACAACAGTGAACAAAATATCCCCCTTTCCTGCCTTCCTGGGATTGAGGGTCCCATGCAACACAATGATTAATTATAAATA